CTGATGGTCTATGTGACGCTGTATTATACTTAGTCTTAGGCAGCCATGGCTTGCTCTCCCCAACTGCGGCTATTCATTCTAGTCTGAAGACCACGTTTAGTTGGCGTCAGTGTCGGCATATGCGGGTAACCGTGGCCTAAGGTTGGGATCCTCTTCGTCTCTGTCTCTTCCCGCGTCATCTGGCAACTGAATAATTCTGGTTGACACTTCCGGCCTGTCTGATGGTAGGGGTGGTCCTCACATCGATGCATTCCTCGTGGAGGAGGTACCCGACAATCACACCCGTCCAACACTGCAAAGCTTTTGCGGAAATAGTTGGCCTTCATCGTTCAGGCTTTCGAGACCATCCTAGGCTACTGGTGCACGTGGTCTCACCTATGCTCATTGGCTTATTGGACTTTGCACGTTCATGGATAGTCGGAAACATCCAAACCCTTGTCTTGCTGCATTTGCTATTCTCGAGTGCGCAATTGTATGCGATTGTGACTTCTTAGGCGTCGTGACAGCCGCGATCTTCTCACTTTCGAATACAAATTTTGACCTAGTCAGAGGGGCGAGTACTGGTAAACCAGAGAGGTCTGCTGTACAGGGAGGTGATTGGCCGGACTGGATTGGAGCAGGCAGGCAGGCACTGGGGCTTGCGCAATTTCTAGCAGCCGCGGGTGCGCGTGCATCAGGAGTTGGGTCTCTACAGTCTTTTGTTCAATGCTGAAAACCAGTGTTTTCGAAAGGAATACAGGATAGAAGTTAATAAAATAGTCCGAACACTCGTGCTTTTTAGTGTGGACCGTGGTGGGGATGGAGGCATAAAGAGCAATCAGAGTGCCGTTTAAGCGGATGTGGAAGATGCAGGAGAGACAGACTCCCATAACGGTAGAACTTGGTTCCTGGTCCTAGTGTGTTTCGAATGCAGCTCCACGTCCGCCAGTCTTGGCCTCCACACCATCCAACCCAAGCACCTATTTTGAGCACGGACCGGAAACAGGTAACTGGATATCCAACGGGCAAACCTTTTGTACATATGTAGATTTGTGGACGTAAGAAGGTAAATGTCTTGACCGTCGGTCCGCGTGGACGTAGGTTATCATCTTAATTCCCTACTTCATGAACATCTGTCTCAAGCCTTCATTGAAAACCTTTCCACTATCTGGCAACCCCTTCTAATTATATTGCTCTGAGGAGTCTGTTACACAGACGAGTATGTTGACGCTGTAACACTTCCGTTTGCACTCGCCAGGCAGATCCGTTTTTGTGATTTTAAAGAATTTTGACGCCTTATCGTCTTCTAGTAGTTCTTATGAGAGACAAGTATAATCTTCTGTTTTCCCTATTTTTCTTCTCAGACGAACTCTGATCCGCTGTCTGCGGAGGACAGTATAAATCTACCTGTCTACTTTGATTCCAGGAGGTGCAATCTGGTGACAAAGATAAAGGTGCCCTGTCAAACGGGCAGTCAGCAGACCTGGATCCAAAATGGCGTTGCTTTGTTTGTGCGATCGTTTTGAATGCCGCTTTACTTCGTCCTACCCCCGTCCCTCCCTCCCTAACTATCTATCTTTGTTTCTTCGTTTTGTCCCAAAGTTTTGTAAAATAGATACATATTGTTCGAAGTTTCACAATGTTCTGTTTGCAAAGTTTAAACAGAGATTTTGTAACCAAACAAGGGCACAATAAGCACACCAAGCAAACACAAACAAAGTAGGCTGTAAGTAAATGACTGAAAAGCGGATTATTTATGGACAATTCCGAAAATAACAAGATCCGTACAATCAGAAGGTTTTGGTCTAAACGTCGTAGATTTCAATTTTTTGAAGCAGTCATGCTGTTAGAAGTCTAGGCTCTCCTGAGGCGTCTTGCCTGCTACAATGTCTTTTTGTCTTCGCTCTGACCGCCTTCACGCGATGAACTTAAAGGCTGGACCAGAGACACGCACGCACGCGCGTCAAGGCACGTGCCCCAACTGGTCGCAGTATCTCAAGGGCTCCCCTAGACGCGC